GTGATTTCTCGCTTTCTGTCTCTATGTCTCTCTCTCTGTCTGTCTGGCGAGCGCACCCGACTTATAGTAAAAATCTCTCAAAAAAAAAAAAAAAACTCCACTGCCAGCTGCACCACACCTCCAAGTTCCAGATTCTGTTCAGGCGCTACCTCCACCTCTGAGGTGCCTAATGGGATCTTCAATGTAACGGGCCCCAGCCCGGCTTTCCAACAGCTACCCCTCCACAACAACTGCTCCCCCTGGGTCACCCCATCTCCATCCCCATTACTCAGGCCAGGAACCTGGGGGTGTCACCCTAGCTGACTCTCACGCTCCAGATCAAGTCCAGCGGCAAGTCCTGCTGGCTCTACCCTTAAGAGGTACACAGGCTCAGTCTCTCCAGCAGTCAGTGTGCTGGACTACGGAGCTGGAGGTCACGGTTCAAGTCCTCAGCCCAGTCAGCCTAGAAGCACACAGGCCCATGTGTGTGCAGGACAGGAGGAAGTGGTCACAGTATGGCCAGGCCCGTGAAGAGTACTACTCCCTGCTTCCCTCTTGCTCACGTGCATGCATGCACACTCCATTATTGAAGAAAAAAGATTCAGCTGGACGTACAGGCATCCGAATAGGAAAGGGGCGAGTAAGACTATCTCTACTCATAGATGACACGGTCCTATAATAGAAAACCCCAAACGGTACACACTCTAACATCCTTTCACGATAAAAACACTCAGAAAACAAAGTCCGTGCAGGCCCAACCAGGTACCATGTGCCAGCAGACACTGCTACTCAGAAAGCTGAGGTCACACGAGAGGCCAGAGTTTGATTCCTGGCCCACTTGAAAGCTGGCCATGCCTATAGTCCCAGCTACTCAAGAAGCTGAGGCAGGACAGCAACAGAGTGAGCACATGTCTTAAAAAAGAGAGATGGGACCAGAAGTTAGCATAATGGCTGTCGCTGGACTCCCATGTAGTCGACTGCAGTTTGAGTCCCGGACCTGGTGGCTTAAACTCACACCAGGCGCATGTGCGTGCATGCCTAAGATCCCAAGAGGAGAATGGAGGAGAAGGGATTGCGGCGTGACAATCCCCCCTGGGGTGATTTCTTGCATTCTGTCTCTCTGGCAAGCACACGCACCCTCTAGCAAAAACCTCTCCCTCCCGAAAAAAAAGAGAGAGAGAGAGGGACTAGCAGATGGCATAATGGTTACATCACTGGACTCCCACGTAGTCAACTGCAGTTTGAGTCTTGGATCCAGTGGCTTAAACTCATGCCAGCATGTATGCATGTATGCATGTGTGCCCAAAATCCCAAGAGAAAATGGAGGAGAAGGGGTTGTGGTGTGGCCATTTCCCCTGGGGGGGTGATTTCTCGTTTTCGGTCTCTCTTCTATGGGGAGCACACACACCCTTTTGCAAGAAACCCAAAAAAAAAAAAAAAGAGAGAGAGAGATATGTATACGGAGAATCTTTTCACTACGCTCACTGCCGCCAGCTTAGTCTGAGCTACCATCATTTTGGATGACGAATGTGGCCCCGTGGCCCACCCTCTAAGCTCACCCTGCCTCCTTGAATCTCCCAGAGATTAAAGCCAGGGCGATTTTATTAAAACTCAAGTCAGATCATGTCCCTCCTCGGCTCCACCCCTCCTAGTGGTTTCCCAGATTACACGAGTGGAAGCCCAAATGCATACCATGGCTCCAAGGCCGGCCAGCCCTCTGCTCCGTATCTGCTCCAACTGCCCCTCCCTCACACTGTTCCAACCCCACTGGCTTCCCTTCTAAGCATAGGGCATGTGCACCTGCTGGGGTCATAGAGACAGCGGGAAAGAGAAATCACCCCCCAGGGAGGATGACGCCGCAATCCTTCTTCCTGATTCTACTGTCGGGATGTTGGACATGCACACACACACGCCCAGCACAAGTTTCAAGCCACTGCATCTAGGATATAACAGGGCAGGCAGGGGTGGGGGGGAGTGGCAGGTAAGACCAGGTTGAACAACTTGGATGCCACAAGGAAGAGAATACACACCTTTTGTTCTCACCTGGTTTTCAAAGCTTTCACACAGATCAACTTGTTCACTCTCTCCACAGAGCCAGCCACGGATGCAATGAGCTTCTCTTCTCCCATATATGTTCCGTGGCCACTGAAGTAAAAGGAAGGTACAAAAAAAGGATGGGACATTTGAAGTGACCTCTCTCAAGGACAATGCATTCCTCAAACCTAACAAGCTCCTCCTGTCCTAACCTTGGCTTTTGTGCAGGCTGCTCTTACTGCCTGGAATATCCCTCCCCTTGAGAACTTCAAAGACACCTCCCTCAGGGCCAGCAGGTGCATGGTAGTTAAGGGCTCTGGATCCCACATGGCTGGCTGTGGTTTCAGTCCTGGACCTGGCAACTTGCTTACTCACTGTCCCCTGCCTTCTCTCTCGCTCTGTCCCTCTCTGGTCAAATTAAAATTAAATAAATAAAGAAAGAAAGTTAAATAAAATAATTATTGGGAAAAACAAACAAAGACACTTCCTATGTGTTACTCAGCAAAGACCCCTGGGCTTACCTCAACTAGCCCATTTAAAATAGTAGCTCACTGGCCACTACCGCTGCCACTTCATCCCCACCTGTTTGCACTCACCCTTCCCCATTCTGTCCCACTGCATTGATTGCCAAGTGCCTGGGCTAAATTACCTGTGTGCTGTGCTTAGCCTTTATCTTCTGTCTCCTTGTTAAACCCCAATAGCACGGCATAAAATATGCAGAGAGCGTGAATGAAGAAATGAATCTTACGATTTCCTTGAATCGGGCCGTCCCATAGCACGGTGGCTAAGATCTGTGCACAGAGGGGGATTCCCACACAGGGCCAACCGTGGTTTGAATCTCAGCCCTGGTGCCTTGTAAAACACTCTGGGCTAGGGGACCAGCAGGTGGCATGGTGGTTAAGGTGCTGGACTCCCACATGCCTCACTGAGGTTTGAGTCCCGGACCTGGTGGCTTGCTTTTTCACCCCACCCCCACCTCCTTGTGTCTCTCTGATCAAATTAAAATAAATGAATGAATGAATAAAGTTAAATAATTCTTAAAAAGAAAGAAAGAAAAACGCTCTCATGTATGTCTCAAATCCTGATGCATTGGAGAAATGGAGGAAAAAGGATTGGAGCGTGACCATGCCCCATGGGAAGAGGGTTGGGGGGTGCTTTCTTTTTTTCTCTCTGGCACTCTTTGGCTATAATAATAATAGTAATATTATTATTTTTCAGGTTCCAGTAACCTTAAAAAGAAAAAAACATAAAAGGTTGAAATGTGATTAGTATTTATCAATGGCAGTGGTATAATGGTGGGCTCTGCTTCTTTCCTTACATGATGATCTCATTTAATCCTTGCCCTGTCAAACATAGTGACTGTTTACACCACCACGCAGATGAGAAAACGGGCCTTGCAGAGAGAATTTGGCTAATGATATGTGACTGGAGCCCACGTGTGACCAAAGCCCTGCCTTCCTAACCAGGACACACTGCACTGCCTCACGTTCAGAGTGGGCGTCACCGGGGGAGGAGCCAGCCCCATGCAGTACAGGTAAAGCAGCAACTGTGTCTGTCTGCCCTACGCCACTTACTGAAGCCAAAACCCGGCCCCTAGCTCGGAGACGTCGCAGAGGGAGGAGAAGTCAGAAATGCCACCGTCCCTTCAGGCAGCGAGAGGAGATCTTGCTCCTAACCCTCCCCAGGGATCCGACGAGAAGGGCGCAAAGACCTGAGCTTCAGGCAGAGGGCCCCGAAGTCACGGCCACCAGACGTCAGGAGAGTGAGGCTCAGGGGACACACAAGACGCGGGAAGTAAGAAGGACGAGGTCACTAGGAGCTCTGGGGCTGGGACCAGGTGGACAAGAGCCCGGTTTTGGTCCCGCAGGCCACGTGGAGAGCCCTGAAGCCAGTCCCTGCGCCCCCGGGTGGCTCAGGTTCCCACGTACCGCATGAAGCCCGTGTCCGTGGTGATCGTGTCCCCCGGTACCACCAGATGTTTCTTGGTCTCGCGGCCCAGGCTCTCACTAAGACGTTTGCGAGCCACAGGAAGCCTCATCTCCATCGCCATCTTGGCGCCAATGACTTGCGCAGGCGCAGCTCGGCGCCGCGACCCCGCCTCCCGC